ATATATATATGTATGTGTGTGTGTGTGTGTGAAGCTCCCACGCCTCTGGTAGAGGACCCAAGCTTGAAGGAAGGAAGGAATAAAAGGCCGCGGGGGGCGAGTGGGGAAATTTTATTTTTTTTTGTACACACACACACATCTTGTATAAAGTACTTCATAGTTGTAATTCTGTGAGGCTGATTATTTTCAGCCTAGCAGTGCTTTATCCGACTGAGTGTAAAGGAAGAGTATAAATGACGTCCTGTCCTCATGCCAGACTCTGAGTTAGTCCACTGTGGTATCTGGCATTGCCAAGGCAACGAGTGCGTGATCAAGCTGCTGATGCCACGTTCTGTTAAAGTGGGCAGTGGGCACCCTGTGGGACTGGCTAGCAGACAAACACAACATATACACCCTCCTGCTTAGTCACACATGGGTACAAACATATCATAATGTATCTTGGTACTTTTGGTTCTCCGACATTGTATAAGCTGTGTCCTGTAGACTATAGACAGTACTTTGCTGCCAGCCTATCAGACCAATCAGCCAGCGACAGAACAGGCTCCATCTGGCCAGTACTGGTGTTTTCAAGCTGGGGTCACATAGGTTGTAGCCACACATCTGGGGACTGTAGCATCATCATGGCTCAGACCTACACCTGCCGTTAGCACACCTGTCCCCTGACATGTACGTTGAGAGACACCATCTGGAAAAGCACATAAACAGGTCACAAAACATTTCTGTCATAACCAGTTGTCATTGAAGGTCTCTCATTCCAAATGTTTCCCCTTTCTCACAATAGCTCTTTTGCTATTAAAAATAGCTTATTTAGGGTGCATGCTGTCTAATAGAATATTAGTCATATTTTAAACTGATGGTCCATTACTGCAAAGCACTACTATCACAAAATGTCATAATAATGACATTAAAAGCACTGCTAATTTAAAAAAAAAAGCAATTTTTGTAACTGAGGTTTTAAAGTCCATTGTCAAATGTTCAAAACTAAACAGCTGTGGCATTAAAAATCTAGTAAAACAAACAAAGCCAGATCTGCAGTTGAACACTGATTTCTAGTTTTTAATTTATCAGAGCCACAGCACCTAATGAAAGCATGGCAGGCAGCAAAGCAGGAAGCCGTGGGCTTAGCCACGCAAAGTAAACACGCCTAGAAGAGAGAACACAGTGCCATCTGCCTGGTGACACAACAGCAGAACGATTAGATTGCTATTATAAATTGATGGAATGGCATGAGCCATAATTTGAGGCAGCCCATTTCAATACAGAAACACATTAAAATACACACACAACATATTGAAACAAAGTTGTTCTGATAAATGAAGTGTAATGTTTGCACAATAATAGTTAACATACTGGAGCCTGCATTTGATCATCAATCAAAAGATATTATAAACTCTAGCCTCAAAAATAAGTGCAGAGTTGAAACAATCTACAGTAAGCTTCATCGCTGTGCTGTCTTATTGTATTGATTACATGTTAATCATTAACCTCTGTATAAAAGGGTTATGTGATGTCATCAGGGCTGCAGTAATCTGTCCTCTTCACCATCTGTATCTTCAGCTTACATTGTTCATTTCCTCTGTAACTACTCTGCTGTTTGCTTTCTGTGGTGTTTATAGTGATGCTGACCTTTGGACATCTTTTTTTTCCCTAAACTAGGCTACAATTGGAATTGACTTCCTGTCGAAAACCATGTACTTGGAAGACCGAACGGTAAGCATCTCACTTAAAGCTGTATAATGTCCTGACAAAGATGTTAAATGTTTGTGATGTGTTAGCAGTTCCTTCTCTCAGAGAGAAAGACACACTGTTGGATTTGCATGAGTTCAGACTTCACCTGACAGTGGTTATGAACAGCGTGCCATCTTTCTAGTTTGTAATGCAGTCAGTCAGTTTGAATGCACTCAAACCTGTTTGCATGCCTGTTTAACTGGGGGAATCTTTCATACAGCAGTGTGACCTTGGAAGTGTCATCATGTGGAATTCATTTGTATAAATAGCACCTGTGTGTGAGTCTTGTGCTGTGAGCCCGTGTGTGTCTGGCGAGAGCCTACTGTTTCCAGGCTCTCTAACTATCAGAATAATCTCAGCCTCCTCAGCTTTCTCTCTCTGAACCTCAGGTGAGGTTGCAGCTCTGGGACACAGCGGGACAAGAGCGCTTCAGGAGCCTCATCCCCAGTTATATACGGGACTCCACTGTGGCTGTGGTGGTCTACGACATTACAAGTCAGTGTCCCTTGAGATTTTTGTTCAGCTGCTCATTTGACCTACTTAGTGTTTTAAACTCAAGTGTTTATTTTCTTATATTTTACTGTTAAGAGAGGGCTCATCTCTCACTGTAAAGATCCCTCAGGGCAAAAAAATTCACTGTCACTAATTGTTAAAAACAGTGTTACGACTGGATGTTCCAGTGTAGATGAGATTCCCCAATATCAAATATCACCTTAATATTTTCCAAATTGGATCCACAGAGCATTGTGATGAGACTTATTGCATTAACCTGCCTTTACATTCTCATTTTGCACATGCATAAGTGCGCACTCACTGCTGAGTATTTGCACTCCGTGGCTCCCACGTAGCATATATTCTCTCTGCATTATATTGTGTTCTTGTTGTATTTTTAGTTGCTTCCTTCACTTGCTGCTTTAAAGTGCCTTAGATTTGTGATTTTACTGCCTATTTAGATTTGTGTTATTGCTCATCTACTTTATATTTCACTTGTATTATGTGGCATTCATGTGGACGGCAAAGTAAGAATTTCATTGTAGAGAGAAACACGCTTCCTAACTGTGCAAATGACAAACACTTTGACCCTTGACCTTTGACCTTCCCTCCTATGCTCTTAAGAACCAGTATCCATGATATCTAAATTGTGTTTGTGCAGGCTTATTGTAAATTTCTCTGTCCTCTCATGAGAAAAACCACTTTTCCGGATTTCTTTTAAAGGAAAACTAAGAAGATTTGAAGAGTCATAGATCTACAACTTCTTTGTCAAAGCATCAATTTCAGGATGTGTTTGGTGTGCTTTGCTTGTGGCCTGTAATGTAATGACCTCTACTGTACATGGTTCCCCTTACAGTTTATTTTCACTTCATAGTGAATATATCATCTGAGCAGTACATTCTGCTCTTAGTTTGTCAAATAGTTTAAAGTGCAAAGACAGAGGGCCTTTTTGTTACATGGTTGCCCTCTGGAGAAAAATTTTAATGGTAACCCCTGTTTTTATGTCCAGGTACTACAGATGAAAAATAGCCTCTTGGCATATTTATAGCAATGTTTATTAATGTGCAGTGTCCCTGTTAAAGGTGTAGTCCATGATTCTTGTGAAAGAAAGTTTATAATGAAGTTTTAACTGAAGTTCAAGCATGAAGACATCTGTCAATCACACAACACCCCTATCCAATCATTGCATGACGTTTTGTGCACAGATATGCCTATTGGCTCATAAGCATCTTAGCCAAGCATATTTAAATCTCATTACTTGCATCGTCTCTTGGCAGTCATTGCTGTTCGCTCCACCCCACAGCTCACACACCTTCACCCCACCACCAACAGTGTCCACGCTCTGTCTATGGGGGGGGAACGCTCGATTTGATGGCTACTCAGCGTGTTTCATCCCTCCGCATTTATCACAGATGGGGTCATCTGAAATAGATGTGGTAAAATGTTTAAGTATGCCCACATGAACCCTCTCATTCTCCTTAGATGTCTTCCCTGACTGAATTTATGCCAGCACTACAACTCCCTTCAGTTCGAGTTGCGTTACCACGACTATTTACTCATTTGTCCCACAGAAAAACCTCCGTCCTTCCTCATGCATTACAAATCCTTGAGCTCCCTATCATTGGACAGCTGCACCTTCATTTACATGGGTCTTTGGGGACCTTACCTTCTTTTTCAATTTTTGTTCTTCTTACCTGTGTAGGCTGTACCTGGACGCAGCCGAATTGGCATTTTTTTCAGCTAACACTCCCTCATGGCTGCTCAATGATGTTATGAATGTCTGAGCTACCAGGTACAATGACCCTTTGCCTTCGTCCTCTGCTGTGCACAAGCAAGAGTGCTCAATGTGCTGATTGGCTGGAATGACCCGGGCCTACCCAGATCCGTTCTTCCTCATTTGCAGAACGAGTGCTCTATACAAACACACAAGGTATTTGGAGCACACACACTGGAAGGACAGCAGGAGGAATGCTGAATTTGGCAAAATGTGTAATGAATTACAATCGTGGTCTATACCTTTTAAATAAACAAAAAAAAAGAGCTACCATCCCCCATAACCCTTTTGTGTTTTCATTTTGAAATAGACAGGGGGGTCTGTCTCATCAAACTCCCAGTTCAAGAATGCAATAGGACCATCAGTTTGCATGCCTTAAAGCCCTGCATACTGCATACCACGTACGAATGTGGCAAGTCAGTGGGGTTTTTTAAAAACCTGAACATGCTGCACAACTACAAATGGTTGTTGACAGTGTCTCCAGCCTCAAATTCCAACATTTCAGAGGATTTGTCCTGGACCACCAACGTTTCTCCAGCTTCAAATTCCAACCTTTCAGAGGATTTGTCCTGGACCACCAACACCCGCAGCCTGGTTAAGACGGCTCACCAGCACCTCTTCTTCTTGAAGGACACTGAAGAAGAACCACCAGTCTTCAGCCATCCTGGTGAACTTCTACCGCTGTGCCATCGAGAGCATCCTGACCAGCTGTATCACAGTCTGGTATGGAAACTGCTCTGTCTCCAACCATAAGGTGCTGCACCGGGTGTTGAAAACTGCCCAACGCATCACAAGGACTCCACTTCCAGCCATTGAGGGTGTCCACAGGGAATGCTGTCTCCAACGTGCTCGCAGCATTCTCAAGGACTCCTCTCACCCTGCTCACAAACTGTTTAACCTCCTACCCTCTGGGAGGCTCTTCAGGAGCCTCCGGACCAAGACCAGACTGAGGAACAGCTCCTTCCCCACAGCTGTTCCCCGTTGACCCCCACTGCCTTCTTCTATACCACTTCCACATCTCACCCCTTCTCACCTCTCCTCCTGGGACTAATGCAATATGTTTCTGTTACCTGTAACACTGAAGTGAACTGGTAATTTGCACATACTCTACTCATAGGATACTTCTCTGTTATTCATTTGCACACTGTTCATATGCAGATACTGTATATTTATCTTTGCACTAGTTACATGCATTGAACTGTTCACTCATGTAACATGTTGTCTTCTTATTCTGCACTGTTTCATTCCATCTCATCCCATTGCACTAGTGTTCCATAAGCTTAATGTACATTATTTATTACTTGTCATTTAAATCCATACAGTCTGTTGTATATTGTACATTATCTTACCTTAAATATCAATTGTACATACTGTATCTATCGGTAAACTAGTTCTGACTGTACAGACTGTAGATACTGCACACTCTACTCTCCTGTTATTGCACTTCTGGTTAGATGCTAAACTGTATTTCATTGCCTTGTACCTGTACATGTGTAATGACAATAAAGTTGAATCAAATCTAATCTACAAATGTACAGTACAGTGTATCATGGATTTATCGTGTAATGTCAGTACTGTGTACATCATCCAGTGTCATCTGTCAACTGTTGTCATCAGGTGATGATATTAAGACATTTGATATGATTTTTCTGGTGATCTGTCATGTGGAGTGTTCTCTAAATATGGGATCTTATTCTTGCATTAATAATGAAGATTAGTAATGCACCACTCATTTTAAATCTGCAGATTTTTTCACTGGCTCTTTTAGAAATACCAAGCATGTCACTGTTTCAAAATTCAGGTGACATGTTCATAGCTCTGTTTAGAGCAATAACAGCGGAAGGAGAGGTGTCGGATTATTGAAAGTTGCCACAGTTGTACAAACAGCATCTCTAATTATACTCCGCTTTGTCTCCCCTCTTTCTCAACAGATGTTAATTCATTCCAGCAGACGTCAAAATGGATTGAAGACGTGAGAACAGAGAGAGGAAGCGATGTCATCATTATGCTCGTCGGCAATAAAACAGACCTGGCAGATAAAAGGTATGTTGTGACTACTGAACCTGCCTCCTGACCTCAGTACTTGCCTCACATCGAGCCTTTTAGTCAGTATTTTCCTTTTATGTCTTGACACCATGGCAACCGTGATGTACAGAGTGTCAGTCAGTCAGTCAGTCTGTCACATTCAGCTGAGCACAATACCTCTAGAACAAAACATGATAGAAATGTCAGGCTGACTCCACAGGCCGCCCCTGCACAGGAGATGATTCGATTAGATGTTGGAGCGTCTTCTTGCTGAATTAATCTGTATATTAATGAGGCAGAAATTATCCAGGGTCCAATATCGCTCCTTAATATGTTGCCATATGGATTTAGTGTTATATGAGGATAGGTATGAGATGTCACTGTTTGTCACATAATATATTAGTGATTACACTCATTAGCATAACTGGTTATGTTTAATATTATTACAGTAATTTTCATGGGACATTAGGCGGCTCAGCTGCATCTTGTCAGACCACTTGCTCTGTAATGAGAAAATCATTGCCAGCTTGTGGAAATTATTCAGTGGTTTTGAGTCCCTGGTGATACTTAAGCAATCATGAGCTCTTTGGAAGTCTTTTTTCATATACTGTATACAGTATGTACTTCTACAGTTGTAGTGAGGAGACGGTGGGAAAATACTGATGAGATAGGATGTTTAATGAAGCTGGGTGTACAGGTATGAGAAATTGATCTGAGAAGAATACATAGAGAAACATTAAGATTAAATGGCATGAAGCAGAAATATACAGTGCTGGAAGAATAATAGAAAATAAAGGGAGAACTGAACCATAAAATTACTTGTCTTGGAGCCCAGATGCATTAATGTGTGTATATGTACAAAAGCTGTACTGTAGACAGATTTTAGATATAAAGTGATGAGTAAAATGTGAAAAGAAAATGAAAAGACCCCTACAGCACTGTGGCTAATCTTTTATAAAGCTGCTTCCTTTTTAATGTAAATATCTGTTTCCTGACTTTGTATTTATTTATTTACTGAATTTTCTGTGTTGTGGGTGTGTATTTTGTTTATTACATTATCTGTTTTATAAGAGAGGCCTGACCAAAATGGCAGCACAGAGAAGTTACGGCAACAAGTTGGTACAAAGTCATATGAAAAAAACATGAATTTACTGCATTCATGACTATATGCAGAAATGTTCAGTGGCTGCTGAAGTACTGATAAATACTGCCTGTTTCTAGCCATACAAGACAATTAGCACATGTCAGTATGCTAACATTGTAAACTAACATGTGGTAAACATGGTAAACAAGATACCTGCTACAGTACAGTGTGTCAGCATTGTCATTGTGCACAGGTTAGCTGGCTTAGGACACTAAACACACTTTTATTTTCTTTCTTGTCAAACAGGCACTAGTATATCTTGTCTCTTTCCTTAAATTAACCTTAAACACTGTGAATAACTTTACAGTTTTCTCATATGAAGGTAATTTACATATGCAGATTTACACATGCGTGTGCTTTCTTCAGTTCTAATTAAGAGAACAGACTATATTTTGTCACGATGTCTCTCATCTGTATCCATCTTCTTTCTGTCCTCTGGGACATCTTAAAGCTAAAGTTAGACAGCTGCTTGGTTTGCTGTTAGGCTGCAGAGATTTCTCAAATCAACACTGCTAAAACAGCTGACTTGTTGTGGTTGACTGATTTTTGTCAGAAAGCCGCTGTGATTGTTGAGGTAAAGGTAGTGGCTGCAGGTTTCATGCAGTCTGAGTGCTTTGGCCTATTTTCCTTCTTTCTCCACCTGTCAAATACGCAGCAGTATTGAATGTTTAGGTTTAGTTAAGGCAGCATTTTCAGAAATACAGTTCCCACATCATACCAATGTGGTGAGTAAGCACACATTCATTGTGCACACATATGCACCAGTGTAATTAATTTGGTCAGCATTAGTAGCCATGCAGTAGCCCAAAACATTTTCAGAACTGGTGACATGTTGAGAATTTACCATGAGCTGCAGAAAGACATTCCCATTGTCATACTCGTGGAAACTGCTGGTGATAGCAGTTTTCTGTATATACTGTATCTCATTGGATCAGTCAATAAAAGATCATGGCTGGCGTAACAGCAGAGAAAAAGACATAGGCTTTGGCTTCAGGCAACAGAGAGACTGCATCTGTACAGTAAGACTGGGCATGGCCAAGCCAGTATATGCTTATACACTTAAACTTTCACAGTTAAGGGGTCTTTTATGATCCCATCAAATGAAAACTGAACAGCCTATGCAAATGAAATTTATAGCCTGTTTTATCTAAATAGATTTTGCTAGCTGAGCTTTCATATTAAACTGTAGGACTGGGTTTGTTGTTAGAAAATGTGGGCTTCAGAAAAAAAGTGCTGACAGATATCGAACATTTTCCCTTTAATATGTGGGTGATTTATGTTAACTACAGTTTAGTTAGGTTTTAATGGGGTCTGAAAGTTAACCCCCTAGGAAATGTTCCATGGTAAATAAGTAAATGCAGTCTACTACATTAACACCACCTCAGCTTTCTCTCCTCATTTGCTTCTTCTCAAAGATAACTCAGCCTGATTGCTGCGTGTATGAGCCTGATAGGTTTTTTTTTCCCAAATCAGTGCATGAAACATTGAAATGGCATTTTATTGCTTTTAAAATGACAGCCCCCCACAGCATTTCAGTGCTCCTCTTTCCAGCTGCATTGTCTCAACCGATCAGCCTGAGTCTTACAAAATGTTCTTTTTGTACTTTTTTCCTTGTTCTTTTATTACAGAAGCAGTTGAAGTTAATCATAGTGACACTTCCAAATGTGCTTGGACATGCCTGTGAATGTTTAATTCAAGATATGATGAATGTTGCTGTCACTGTTGGTTGTATTGTGTGTACTCACTGCAGGGAGTTTTATTAGTAAGGGATGATTTCCACTGATAAATTTAAACTGATTAACTGATTTGTTAAATCTTTTTCTAGGTGGCTGTTTGTGTAGCCACACTTCTAAAGCCATCCTAAAATAAGCCAGTTTTGTTTCTTTGTCTACTACTGAGACATGTACACTTACCAGTCCATGAGAAGAAGCATAGGTTCATGTGTATGACTTGACTCTGTTTGATTATCAGGTGCTCTGGAGGAGAACCTCTGTGAGATCATAATTTTCTTTGTGTTTGTTGGTCATTCATGCGTGGTGGAGCTTCTCACAGTGCTCAGTGTTTAGGGGAGTTGAAACATACACAGTTACATACTGCCTGGCCCCTGGAGCCTTGCCTAGGGAAAATAATGTGCGTTGTACACCAGGCAGCAGCAGCAAAGTGGAGCCTGGTTTCATGTACACTGCCAGGAAGTAGCTGTGGGAATTTTTAAAGCTCTGCTACATCACAGTGCTTTAATGGAGTATTTTGTTCAGCCATTGACTTCTAATCTCTTACATTGTTCCTACAGTACTTAATGAGAACTTTAAAGTTAATGAAGGTTCACATGATACAGTCAGCTTCAACACGCAAGAGATTTTACAGGGGCCTGAGGGGATTTTTAAGACATTGTCAAGCCCATCATATTCTACTGTAGGTAAGGTAGACAAACTTAACACAAATATTGCCCTATCTACACAATCAGTACTCTGTTGAAGCAGTCACCCAAGCATAAAGTCCTTTTGGCCATCTGGGGGCAGCGCAGCGGGTTGTAAACACAACTGACATATTATCACCATATAAAGTTGTTATGGTGGTTAAGGCTGACAGATATCAAATACTCACTGTTCTTGTAGCTCTGTTTTGGTGTACACCTATTCCTGAGGGAAATATCTAGCTGTTGTTAATACGGTCTGTCAGCTGCTCAGTGATGAGCACCTGGTGAGTTTATCAGACTGAAAACAGCTTCCTGCTGCTGCTGGAAAAGGTGCTGATGAGAGCAGAGAGAGTGAACTAAAGCAGTAGAACTGGGCTGTAAAACAAAACACTGAGCTGAAAGATGCTAAAACGCTCCACAGAGCTGAGGGGAACTGCAGAGCCAGGTGAAGTTTCACTGTGGGTTTGTCATGATGAGCAACACCTTGTACATTGATGCATTGTTTCTATTAAAAATTTGATTGCTGCATCTTCATTGGACAATTTAAATAGAAAATATCATCATCAATTTGACTTTACAAGAGTGAATGGCTAAGCGAAAAGAAACAATGATGATCAAATTAGTCCCAACAGCTTTGTTATTATGCTTGAGATCTTAATGATTTTGGGTAGTAATGGCACAGTTCCCCAATTTACATAAACAGCTGAAGAGAAGTGATCATTAGTGTCTTTTATAGCTGATGTCACATATTTCAGGATAGAGCTGCTGAAACTACAAATGTTCTGCTGCTACACATAAATATTGCTGGATGCAACATATTGTGCATTCATTATGCAATTTTCCTGCCAACTGCCTGTCTGATGATGAATAAACCTCTGTGTTGTTTAAGTTGGGACCCAGACGCAAGCATCTAGAAATAGCCACAGCAGCGCTACTGCGGCTCTGTCAGGTGGTGTTATTATGTAAATACATATCGGGTTCTTGCTCTAGAAACTTCTTTTCCCAGCTCACAAAGACTGTTCTGTTGTGTGATGCAAAGACAGAACAGAACAGAGGAGAGGATTATCAGTTAGACAAAATGTTGCTGTGTTTGATGCTGTGCACAACAGCATTTTGCTAATGTGAGTGATTTTAGTCAGGTGTTGCAGCCTCTTCATGGTCAAAAAGAAAAGTTAAGAAGTGGTATTTTTGATTTAGGACACTACTAAACTTCCTTTTCCTTGAACCGAAAAAAGAAGACAGGCTGACTACATCATGGTTTTCCCAGAAGACCAGTGGCAGGTTGATTTAAGCCACTGCGCTTAATGAACCTGATGGCTGTAGAGTCAGCAGGACTGATCTCTCTGTATGCATTAATGGACACCTGACACAGTCTCTGTTTCACAGTGAGAGCCAGACAGTCACTGCCACATTCATTAAAATGCAGCACAAATTGACTGTTATTAATTTCATGTGGGACAGTGTAATTAATAATTTTTGTTCATTAGTTAATTAAGTCTGGTGTGGCCTCATAACCCTAGAATAACAGGAGCCTCAGCTGCAAAAGAGCGGGCTTCACTGTGAGTCTTGTGTAAGCAGCTGCTTGTCTTTGTTGATTCTTCATATGTGAAAATGAGCCTCTGCGTTATGTCCTCATGCTGTGAAGAGCATGCAAGTATCTCCAATGCATTAATATGCAGTTTTAATAATAGTTACTCTCTATTCACAGGCAAATCACAATTGAGGAAGGTGAACAGAGGGCTAAAGAGCTGAGTGTCATGTTCATAGAGACCAGTGCCAAGACGGGTTACAATGTCAAACAGGTGAGTGAGTTTGGAGCTTAGATATATGTTAAGCCTTCAAAAAGGGTTCCAGGCCATTCTTTCTGTACCACATATAATGATAGTGCTCATTTAAATGACCCGAAGTTCAAGAATAGAAATGCAAAAGATGTTTTGAACATGATGTGTCACCATTTTGTAGTTTTTCCACCGAGGAGTAGGGGTCAAGTTTACTTTGTAACTGTGAAACGTGCTGCCCAGTACATTTGTTTATGGGTTACGTTGCCAGATGCCATCATTAAACCCCTGTGCAATATTACTAAAATGGTAAATAATTCAAAATAGTTTTGTCTTACAATACTTGTAATATTTTTACATTCAAGTGAAGGATATTTGATTTTGTGTATAATTAAAAACAGTCCCTAAAGCACAGTGATCACAGTTTTCTGACTATTGACAGTGTGGGGCCGCTGCATAAAGTCTACCTCTAGAAAACCACTGCTCACAAAATGACACAAAACTACATCTTGACAAAGAACATGAGATGAGGTCCGATGGTCAGATGAAACTAAAATAAGCTAGTCTGGCTTACATGGGGTCCAGTAAGTTTGGTGTGGACCGGGCCAGGACGGCCACAGTGCCTACGTAGTGCTGACTGTGAAACATGGAGGTTGGAGAGAGCGCTGACATGGGGCTGCATATGGAGGTTGGAGAGAGCGCTGACATGGGGCTGCATATGGAGGTTGGAGAGCGCTGACATGGGGCTGTATATGGAGGTTGGAGAGCGCTGACATGGGGCTGCATATGGAGGTTGGAGAGCGCTGACATGGGGCTGCATGAGTGCAAAAGGTGGAGGGGAGATAACACTTATAGATGGCACAGTGAATGCAAGTTTGTATACCCACATAGTGAATGGAAAGATGACTCCCAGTCTCAAGAGGTCTGCAGGAGAGGAATATTCCAACATGAATATGAGCCCAAACACACTGCAAAAATCACACCAGCATTTTTAAAGAGGAAAAACTGACTAAGTACAGCCTCGTACTCTGATCTCAAGTATGTCCCCTGACTTCACTTGAGTAGAACGCCTCTGGAATGTAGCTGAAGGTAGAGCAGCTGAAAAGAATCATCTGTGAAGAATGGCATTATAGGTTTATTAGTCAAACACTGCTGGGCAGGATTTGTAATTGGCTAACGTTGTGCTATTGACCAGGAGTGTCCCCTGTTTAGTTGTACATGGTACCTGATTTAAAAAAAAAATAAATAAAACCGAATAATCAATATTGGTGTCAGCTTCAAAAAACAGTAGTTTCTACTCCTTGCTGTATTGCATATTAATAAGAAAGCAACAGATTTTCTTGAAACTATGACATCATGCCACCAACTTGATGTTGTAGAGTTCACCCTTACAGCAATTATCTTAGGGCCTGTGCTGATGGATTTATGTTTATATTATTGTTGTGAGGCAACGTAAAGATGCCCTGTGGAGTTTTAAATAAACATTTAGGCTATGCTCACCTTCACTTTTCTCACCAAAACACAGTGTCATTTTTTACATCTAACACACATGTTGGCATTTTCTCGTAAAACATTTTTCAAACTGCTGTGTGTGTGTGTGTGTGTGTGTGTGTGTGTGTGTGTGGCCGGGTATTACTCGTATTGTGGGGATGTAAATCTGTTTACACGGTCACATTTTGGGGAGTCAACGTCCTTATGGAGACAGAAAGCAACTTCTCAAGACATAAATCAATGCATTTTAGAGTGTTGTCTTTAGGTTTAAGTTAGCGTTGGCTAAATAATGGTTATGGTTAAGGTTAGGGTAAGTCTTCGGGAAATGATCATGAGTCAATTTAATGTCCCCTGAATTTATGGAAGCAAAACATGGGGGTGTGTGTACATGAGATACAAACAAAATTCCACAGAACACCATAAGGTACCTTCAAGAGTTTCTTGTTTTTCATACAAATACTGCAGGTAAGTAAAAGTGAGAGAGTAATATTTCTCCCTGTGTACGCTTCCACTGCCAGCATCTCACAAAGATGGAAATCTACACATACCCATTCCTTTAGAAGCATGTAATTAGTTGATGTTTAGAGAGATTTGGGGGGTTTCAGATACAAAGAGAAGCGTAGCCTGGGCCAACAACATCCATTTGTTTTAAAACAGATGGTTGCTCTTAAAAACAACGACCGTCTGTTAAATGAGACGAAGGGCAAGCTGTATTGTGTCTGCTAGTGAATGGTGTTGCTGGCCGCGTGTTCTCACCCCATAGACAGAGCAGCCCATTCTTCACCCTATTTCAGGACTGTGGACACTAAGAACAGAACGACAGGATGGAACATGGTGGTGTGAAACCTGCACAACAGAGGTCACAGTCCTGTCTCCAAAGGCTGCAGTGTTTGCACTGTTCTGCTGTGTCATCACTGTCCACTGAGATGTCGTGTCAGCAGATTCAAGCTGTTAGGCATCAGTTTCATGATCATCTGTGAGAACTCGGGGATATAAGAAGACTACTTAGTGATTGTTTTATCATCACTACTGTGATTTTAAAAAGGCACATCATCATAGTAACATAGCTTTTTTTTCCATGCATTTAGCCAAAGTTTATGTTTAGACATTTGAAAACATTTATTTTTAATAATATGTACTAAAAAAAACTCTCTTTTAAAATTCCACCTAGAAGCATAAGCACGTTTAAGGCAAAGATTTGTCTAAAATGCCTGATGAAAGCGTTTTTGTTTTCAATCTGATTCTTGTGTCAGTAAAACTATATTTTTTATGCAACTAAAGTAGAAGATGGACATGAAGTCACATGAAGCAGTTGTTCGTTCCTGTTCTGCAAAAAACTGATCGGAGATGTGACACTTACTCCAGTCAGGTCACACGTCATGGTAGACCGCTGGCGGTCTTTTATTGTTTTTATGTTACGGTGTGGTAGTGGAGCACAGATGTATATGGGCATTACCAATTTAGAGCAAGTCTATAAGTTTTATATCCTGGTTAGTTTATATCCTAGTATGTTGACTAGTAATAAATGGCTGTACAGAAATAAAATGGTCAAAAATCTAATATTAAATATTGAAGCAGATTTTGATGTTTGCAGAAATAAAAACACAGGTTTTGCAGTGATTGCTAAAATGTGAAAGACTGTTTTGATTTAGATCATTTCTGGAAATTATTTTCACTTTAAACAAGCTGATTAATAATCTATCAAAAGGTCGGTTATTAGACATATCTGACAAAGTGAGTGTTCGTGTTGTGTATTTCTGATTGCCCTCTTTGTGTTTGTTTTCCCCAGCTGTTTCGGCGCGTGGCAGCTGCTCTTCCAGGGATGGAGAGTATGCAAGAAACAAGCAAAGAAGGGAGTATCCTTTGAAAATGTAATATAACATGAAAGTGCCTTTTCATGTTATGGAAAGCATTCAGTAGTAATATGCACGTATTCTGCTTTTCGAGGAAACATTTTAATCTGGGTGAGATGGCATCATTCACTGCTCACCTCTAAATTAAGAGTGAGCATTGTATACTGGCACCTATTTAAATAGGGGTCAGCTACCTGACCCAGTAAATGTGATATCAGCGTGACACTCTTGCTAAATGCGTTTCACCACTGCTGCCTGGTGAACACAGGTGGAAGCAGGTCAGTCAGAAAGTGGTTGCCCACAGTTTTGTCTATGCTACGGTGGACAGGGTTGCTGTCCAGCCATCTGTGTCTCCTTGGTGCTGCTGCACACAACTACCTGGCACCTCACGTCTGCTGCTGTCAGCTCAGCACATCATAGCAGAGTCAAACTTTTATACCTCTGTAAAACTAAACTGTAACATTTCACTCTTTTAGGATGTAGCATTCACTACTGCAACATCAGTTATTGAGAGCATCTTAGACACTTTTTCCAAAGTTGTGATTTCTAAACACACCAGCACACAGGACAGAATTGATCTCTTTTGATTACATTATTTCATTACAATATTTCAATACTTCACAATACAATAAATGATAAATTTGTGTGTTTATTCTTTGACAGCGGTGGCTGTTGACGTCATGGCACGGTAAACAAACAAAATAACTAAAGTTTCCAGAATGGTGTCAAAGTGCACTGGACGGCTAAAGTGGAGGAAACACTAACACAACTGTGGCAGGAGAATGAACACCTCTACAACATTAACATTAATTCAAACACATGCCACGACAGGACTGATAATGTTTCAGTTCCCTCTCTAGCTTTATAGTCAGCTTTTTTTCTTTTTGGTGTAAAACATGGATAGATATAAACAATGTAAGCCAGTTGTATCCATAGTTGTTTGGTACAAGGACATGTAGGAATTGGCATAATCTCACAGGATTTACAGGCTCTTCTGCTGCCAGAACTTCCAGTCACTACAGACGGTCATTAAGTGTTTGTCCACAGAGTTTACTCAGTCGTTAGCTGTGTGCTCCTTCCCAAAAGTCGAGGACTGAAAATCTGTGGGAGTTAGTGGAAACGGTATTAAGGCTGGGCCCACACTAGAGGATTTTATAACCAGTTTCAAAAAGGTGAGAGGCCACAGACATAATGACAGCTTTAACAGATTTTTCACATTTTAGTCTTAAGAGCTCACACACTAGACGATTCAATCAAGAAAGAAACACACACTTGCCATTTTTTCAGAGAAGCCAATTCCGGGGACCAGGGATCTCACAGAAACTCGTGTGATCAAACGTGACTTCAGAACAAAACAAACATGGAGGTAGACATTTGTCGCCAAGCCGTAGCACTGGTGTGCTATGTTTTGTGCAGAGGAAAAAAAATCTTGGCTAAGAAGACGAAATAAACACAGCTCACACATTTTGCAGCTCGAGCTGGAGGTGAATTGGAAATAATGTTGTATTATTCAAACGAGGAAGCTAGTGCAATCTAATGTTAACGTCAGCTCGCTGTCACTGGCTGCTGCGAGTGTCTGGTCAAAATTGAATTGCCCCCACACTACAGGATTCCATGTCGTAAATATCAAGCATGTTTGGTATTTAGGATTCAAGATCGGGGGCTCAGCACCTCATAATACACGATCATTTGGCCCCAGAATCTTTTCCGAGTGGCCTGAGGTCAGGGAAGGGTCATGTTTGGTATTTCGGATTCAAGATCGGGGGCTTAGCACCTCATAATACACTATCATTTGGCCCCAGAATCTTTTCCGTGTGGCCTGAGGTCAGGGAAGGGTAAATCAGGCCTGAAATCGGGCTAATTGTCCTGTAGTGTGGGGTCGGCTTAACTGTGGCCTGTCCTGCCTTAGAAAGTTTTAGTCAGTCGTTAAGTGTGGGCCCACCTTAACACTGCTAACACCTCATACTAGCCTTAGTTAAACTTTGGCGTGTAGAATAAGGATTATAGAGTTTGTCCACCACCATTTATACTGAAATGACAATAGGAAGGTATCTTTTAATGGGTAGTATGGACAGGAGGAATGAATACAGCAAACAATTCCCTGTTAGAATGTTCATATGGGAACTTCATGATTGTTTCAAAGGTTACTTACAAAATGTGAACCTATCTTTTAATATAACCTATTCTACATAAATAACTTTCCCTTTTAGAAGGTATGATCCAACAGCTGTAATAAAACCCACTGGAGAGAACTAATCGGCAAACAAGTCACATAACAGAGTTTGACGATGCTCTGCTGTAGGTATCTATCCACCTTTATATTATTTTTAACTACTTTTTGCATTATTGTCTTTCTAACATTACTATTGAATTGTCTAATACATTTGCAGCTGTCTAATTGATTCTGTTGTCCTGGAAATGTTGTGATTACAACTAAAACAGTCCATGAACATGTTTGCTTCATAGATGCAGTAAATCAGCAGCATTTAATGTTGTCGCTGCTTCTCCTCAAACAGCATCAATACAGAAAGCAGGGTTCCATCTCTATGGTAACTGTGAATGAATTATGAAATTGCCTTTGATTTTAACCATGTGCATAGAGCACTCATTCCTCCTTCAGTGTGAATCTGTCTCACAGGGTGGCCTGATTAACAGTGCAGCAGTTATCTGCTGTAACTTCAGCATAAATCAGACGATGACCTTGGTGTAGTGAAGGAATGCCTACATCTGGCCTTCCTGTGCATACTGGTTATGGCCCATTCATCATTTACAGTGAGTCGTCCAGCCGTTTCTTACAGCGTGGTCTCATTAATAAACCCACCCAGCCATCCAGTTGACCCTCTGAGCTAGTGAGATCACCCCTTTGCTTTTTTGATGCACTCAGACATATTTCCTGGTTATAATACATTGCTTGCATTCAACCAATTGCCTTTATCTCTCTTTGTGTTTTTATCTCTGTCTTAATGAGGCGTAATGGTTGTGGGTGTGAGTGGTATGAGGTGGAGGTGTGGTGATGGATGGCAGTGGATGACTGTTTCTCAGCAGCCCTGTGCCTCTGCTGACACTGTCACTTAAAGGAACAGTTCCTCTGTTGTCACTGCATTGTGAACAGTATTGGTCTCACTGGGAGAAGGGTGGAAATAGGCTTAGTCCTGAATACGTGGGTTCATGGTACATCACCTCAAAGTGCCTTTACCATCACCTGCAGTGTATACAAGCATAATGCACTGGATACTTCTGTTCTTCTTTTGATTATTTAACCCTTCATGGGCCATAATAGAAATATGAAAGCCTAAGTAGAGATAAAACATCTCCAACAAAATGTGCAAAGGAAACATTTAGAGGCAGGAACACAGTCTTATCTGAACACTGTTCACATTGTGCTCTCTGTTCCCTTTAACTGCCAGTTTTTAATTGGTTACAGATGGGTCACACTGATTTACAGTGGATGTTGGGGCCCATGGGGCACAGTCTCTGTGCTTTCTTTTTTCAGAATATGTTCCTACCTACTCACTGTGTATTATTACCACTGCAGGTCTGCAGACAGACCGAATGAAGAGGGCGCATGACCCAGTCAAGTGCTGAGGTCGTCCATGTTAATAAGAGAGAGTCAGAAAGCAAAATAAGTCAGAAATCAAGCAAGAGCAGGTAAAGAAAGGTGCCGCTCCTTGAGTGTTTCAAAACATTGTGGAGTTCTGTTATTCAGGGATTTTTGTGGAGTAACAGCACACGATGGCTCTGGGATACTCCTACAACATGAAACAACTTTGGGGCAAATGTGTTCAAAAGACAGTGGCGTAGTAACGGGACTCATTACTGACTCTTTTCAGGAAATGCTGTGGACTGTAGCTACACACATGTAGGTATCAGGATCAAAACAATGCTGTGGAGCAGTGCTGCCAAACCTTTTTTGGGGGGGGGTAAAAATACAGTTATATTAAGCCGTTGCTGCACCCTCCACCTGACCTAACTCTGAGCGGTCCCCCCAGTTTTGGAACCACTTGTCGGGGGGATTGACTGGGAATAACACGATATCTGCATTGTGGAACGAACTGCAAATCATTCTGACTTAGAGCAACAACTCATTAACACACCGTTGTGCATCGGTTTTAATTGTAGCACTGCAGTGCCAGCCACTTCAGCCAAGATCCTTTCTAAGTTTATTGCCCCACTAACAACAGAGAAGAGGATTTCCTGGTGAGCTGACTGGCTTATATGTGGCAGAGGAGTGTTTTCAGGAAGTTACTCTCCCAACACGTCCATAAACTGGTTAGAAACAGATTTATTAGGAACAGTAGGCTGTTTCAAATTGGATTCCTCTGGCAATTAATGTAGTTTATTGTTGACTCACATTACACAGTAAGTATTTTGGCTAAGGGTTGACGCCAGATCAGGAGCATAAACAAAGTCATAGAAAACAGCATCATCTAGTGGTAGTAAAGCAGTACTACAAGTCATGAATAAAGTACTGTAAACATAATGGAAGATCATACGATTATACTGATCCATTCAGGTGCATGTAACTGATCAGTACCACGTTTCCAGAGCTTCCTTAACGTTCTCCTCCAGTGATCGACATCAAGCTGGACAAAGCGCAGGAGCCCCAGACGACTGAAGGCGGCTGCTCCTGTTAATACTCATCCCCCAGCCTGAACAAAAACAAACCTCATTTACACCTCCTGCTTGTTATGTTGCTTCCTGTTGGTGAACCTGCAGTTGACTTTGCACGCTGAGAGTCTGGCCTCCTCACCTGACTACTGGTCATCGGTTGGAGCTAGTAGTATGTGAATTTGATTCTAAAGTAGTGTAGCCTACTTTGTTAATGAAACTGCCAAAAAGTCTTACAACTTGCAAAAAAAAGTGAAAAAAGATCCACAAGTCACATATTATGTGTATACTTTTTTTTAAGTAGAAAAGAAAACTTCCCCAATTTCTTTTGTATTTTTATATGTTCAGAGAAATCTCTCTCTCTTTTTTTTTTTATGCAAACAACTCGGCTCTGTATTGAGAGCTTGATAAGAAGAGGTGGTCTTAGATGTATTCTTATGGATGCCACTGTTGTTATGGGCAAAGATGTAAACCCTGACCATATTCTAACTGTTACCTAACAATTAACGAAGCCTTTTCAACTTTATACTTAGGCTTAGCAGTTTTCGAGACTCATTGCCTAAACATATTCTCAGCCAGTCATAGAACTTCTGCCCATAGTTCTGGTTGGATCCATGATTTTGCGTTACAGGGCAAACTGAAACAACATCTTGAGTATCTAATGCATGCCTAGTTTTTGAGCGTAGGTACTGTCTAACAGTTTTGAATATGTAAGTGGTAACGGTGACTTAATGCGCTCCGATCTAGTCTTTTTGTTTATAAATACTGTTTATTTGGATTTGTATACTTGACTTCAGAACATCTTTTGTCGTGCGCGTGTAGGTGTGTGCTTTCTGTATAGGCAACGTTACAATGCGGTTATATAGAGGGCCACTGCCGAGTCCTGTCACTGCGGCCACATTACGGCACCATGTAGATCACCATCCCCCCACTCACAACAATATGACAGCTGCTGTTGCATTGTGTGATATCTTGGTAGTTGTGATTATGATAATCTGCACATATAAATGAGCAGTGGAGACTCAGAGCCCTCACCTTGTATCACACGAGAACATGGACACATTTAAATGACAGTTTAACATTGTAAACCCTGTTCATTCCTGACAGAAGACTAATTTGCACATGTGAACATTTCAGGTTAACTCCATTTTAAATGTGCTGTCACTTAATTCAAGACCTGTGCAGTTGTCATAGGAACCGTAACATGTCCCCACTGGGACGAGGTTTTCTTTGCTGCTGGTGTTTAAACTGACTACTGATGTTGGCATTATGCAATGTTGTTTAAGTTTGGTCTTTTTTTTTTTTTTTTTTGTACAACTTGAGTCTGGCATCATAGCGTACTGGTGGTGAAGGCAGCCAGTGTCGAGAACACTACTTTGATTTGACTTGGCTATGAAGTGACTTGTTTCTGCACTTTTACAGAACATTTTAGAATTAGAGTGACAATGTAAGTCTTCGAAACATGGTTAAAAAAAGCATTGTTTTTACCTCCAGAATGTTTGGAGTGTTGTAGAGTAGAAGAAAATATGTAGGAATTGTTCACACGTCCAAAAAAGAGGAGCACTCTTGTGAAAACTGGTGAATCTTTCCAACCCACATAATGAACCAAATGATCATCATAATAAGAGACAGAGTAGGATAAGAAATCACAGGAGATCTAGACTGGAACATGCTCTGTGGTGTCGTTGGGAATGACAAATACACATTGCATTTCAGGTTTGAATCAGTTGAACTGACAAAAAGTCTAATGTATCATCCATCTGTTGCTGCCTATTTATTATTGCAAAACAGAAATGTAGTCCTCATTACTGACCACACAGCCTTGTAAATAGAGCACTTCTTGAGAAATGGCTCAGTGGGAGTTTCTTTTTAAATGATGAAAACATGATTCATGGGTAGCTGTAGACACTCCTTTGTATTTATTCTCCCTACATATGAAAGTAGAGTCCGCCTTTGTTTGCGAAAGGCCCATCCTAACATTCCCTGGAAATGGACCACGTAATGAACAGGTGTCTTTGGATTTGAGGATGGAAGCCATGGTCATTTCTTGAGCGTGTGTGTGTCCTGTCAAAGCTCTGTGCAGCAGACCTGATCAGTCCAGAGCTGGTTCTCCATTCACACTGTACAGAGATCTAGCATGTCTCTCCAAATGATTAATAAAGATGTCTTATTACCAAAGTAGTATCTGTCATACTTACTGTTGTCCACCTGTTGTGTCCTAGACCTGCATACATTCTTTTCCTTAGGTCATGTTTTGATTGATTTGTGCATATGAAATGACACAGGCTTGAAAATGTGTTTCTGATAATTGTGGTGTAAAACCCTAAATGATTACAGTATTAGTTAAATTGTACACTAGTAACTACACTGTCCAGCCACATTAATAGTTGCACCTGAATGTAATGTAGTCCAGTACAGCACCACCTTTAACTATGACCTCAATAATAAACAGAATTTAATTTACATGTTTGTGACAATTTCACCAAATGCTGAAACATTTTGAGCTTCATTAACACAGATGTTAGGGCAGAAGTGTTGCACTAAAGTGCATACAATTGTACAGGTGTGACTATTAAGTGGTGTAAATGCATAGGGTATATGTACATGTGTCATAATGTTGGTTAACAACAATGAAGCAACTGTTGTTTCAGTCGGGCACTGAACAAGTATTTGTACATGTTGGAGCATGCCCAGTTTCTATCAACACAACAACAAAGATCCCCAGTTTCTACTAATGACTGGAGCTACTGTAGGTCCTGCCATCCAAATAAACTATTGTAGTGGCCAGGACCAAATTAACCTGCTAAAAGACCCCGGGGCAAAAATGAAACTTTGGCCCCAGTCCATACCCTGCCTACATCTTTTGATTTGATTTAGTGAAGAACACACCCTGTGTAAACAAAATATCAACTGATACATTAAAGTTTTTGAAACTAGATTTTGCCACTTTACAAGACAGTCTCAAGATTGGGTAAAAATATAGGAGCCACCTGAAAGGACCAGTGTGACATTCAGGGGAGCGTGCTCACTGAGAAGCACAAAAGACTGCTGCCACTCTCATGTATGGTATGTAAGCTGAGTTTGAAGCTATAGCTGTCAGTCAGCATACTTGGCATAAAGACTGAAACCAGGGAAACGACTAGCCTGGCTCTGTCCAAATGTACCGCAGCCTGCCAGCTAGTGCCTGTAACACTCATTAATGTTATGTCAAAAACCAACAGTTTACTGATTTACACTGACTTATGTCAAGATGTCAAACTGTTCCTTTTGTGTACTTCAGGGGAACACACAGTATTACAAATCAAATGTTCATTTACTCAATGCTAAAAAAAAAGGTGTCACACAGCAAACCTGGGACAGTTGGCTGATTTACCCAGTCAGTAGTCCAGTTTTGGTAGTGGCACTCTGTCAACCTTCTCTCCTACTTTGTTGTCCTAGACCTTGTTTTGCAAAAACATCTCGGTACTTAAGGTATTTATGTTTTATTCCAAGCACTCAACACACTTAATCTGCTGCATGTACTCAAAGAGGAATGTAGCTACTGTTTCCTGGTATAATGGGCAGAAATGGTGAAACTGTCTTTCATCACGTTTGGTGTTGCAGACGGTGCTAACCAGAATTCCTCCCATGAGAACTGACTCATTATTCAGACCGATCAGAACAACATGCAGTGGTGGAATGTTATCAACGTACACTGACTCAAGTACTGTACTCCAGTACAGTTTTGGGGTGCTTTACTTGAGTATTCCAATTTTATGCTATATTATATTTATACTCCACTATATTTCAGAGGGAAGAACTGTATATTTACTGTAGTACCGTTATCTGACAGCTGTAGTTACCAGTTACTTTGCAGATCACCACTTTATGTAAACAACATCGGGCCGTTACTGAAGTCATAATAGTTTGGTACTTGAACGCTTTTACTTAGGTAAGCTTCTGAAAGCAGGGCTCTGACTCATAATGTAGTATTTTTATATTATAGTATTGCTACTTTTGCTTAAGTAAATGATCCAATTCCTCCGCCACTGCAAATTTGCTCTGGGAGTTTCTTCCTATTCTGCTCCACCCTAATCCCAGAGATCAGTGCAACCAGGATGGTGCTCGGAGCCAGTAAATACATTTCAAAATTAATACTGTTACTGTGTCATCTCTGCCACCCTGTGGTTGTCTGCTGGCTCTCTGCGGGGTTGCTGCCTTCCTGCTGTAGTCTAGGCTGCAGCTGGGACAGCCAAGCCCTGCTGATGCCAGAGCCCTGAGAACTTGTAGTTCTCTCTTTGGCATTTTAGAGGAGATGAAGTCAGTCACTGTGGTAATATGAAACATGGGAATACACAGTGGGTACGGAAAGTATTCAGACCCCCTTAAATTTTTCACTCTGTTATATTGCAGCCATATGCTAAAATCATTTCAGTTCATTTTTTTCCTCATTAATGTACACACAGCACCCCATATTGACAGAAAAACACAGAATTTTTGACATTTTTGCAGATTTATTAAAAAAGAAAAACTGAAATATCACATGGTCATAAGTATTCAGACCCTTTGCTCAGTATTTAGTAGAAGCATGGTTCTACACCTTCATTTGAGTCCAGCTGTGTTTGATTATACTGATTGGACGTGATTAGGAAAGCCACACACCTGTCTATATAAGACCCTACAGCTCACAGTGCATGTCAGAGCAAATGAGAATCATGAGGTCAAAGGAACTGCCTGAAGAGCTCAGAGACAGAATTGTGGCAAGGCACAGATCTGGCCAAGGTTACAAAAAAAAATTTCTGCTGCACTTAAGGTTCCTAAGAGCACAGTGGCCTCCATAATCCTTAAATGGAAGACGTTTGGGACGACCAGAACCCTTCCTAGAGCTGGCCGTCTGGCCAAACTGAGCTATCGGGGGAGAAGAGCCTTGGTGAGAGAGGTACAGAAGAACCCAAAGATGACTGTGGCTGAGCTCCAGAGATGCAGTCGGGAGATGGGAGAAAGTTGTAGAAAGTCAACTATCACTGCAGCCCTCCACCAGTCGGGGCTTTATGGCAGAGTGGCCCGACGGAAGCCTCTCCTCAGTGCAAGACACATGAAAGCCCGCATGGAGTTTGCTAAAAAACACCTGAAGGACTCCAAGATGGTGAGAAATAAGATTCTCTGGTCTGATGAGACCAAGATAGAACTTTTTGGCCTTAATTCTAAGCGGTATGTGTGGAGAAAACCAGGCACTGCTCATCACCTGTCCAATACGGTCCCAACAGTGAAGCATGGTGGTGGCAGCATCATGCTATGGGGGTGTTTTTCAGCTGCAGGGACAGGACGACTGGTTGCAATCGAGGGAAGGATGAATGCGGCCAAGTACAGGGATATCCTGGACGAAAACCTTCTCCAGAGTGCTCAGGACCTCAGACTGGGCTGAAGGTTCACCTTCCAACAAGACAATGACCCTAAGCACACAGCTAAAATAACGAAGGAGTGGCTTTACAACAACTCTGTGACTGTTCTTGAATGGCCCAGCCAGAGCCCTGACTTAAAACCCATTGAGCATCTCTGGAGAGACCTGAAAATGGCTGTCCACCAAGGTTTACCATCCAACCTGACAGAACTGGAGAGGATCTGCAAGGAGGAATGGCAGAGGATCCCCAAATGCAGGTGTGAAAAACTTGTTGCATCATTCCTAAAAAGACTCATGGCTGTATTAGCTCCAAAGGGTGCTTCTACTAAATACTGAGCAAAGGGTCTGAATACTTATGACCATGTGATATTTCAGTTTTTCTTTTTTAATAAATCTGCAAAAATGTCAAAAATTCTGTGTTTTTCTGTCAATATGGGGTGCTGTGTGTACATTAATGAGGAAAAAAATGAACTTAAATGATTTTAGCATATGGCTGCAATATAACAAAGAGTGGAAGATTTAAGGGGGTCTGAATACTTTTCGTACCCACTGCACAGTGTATAATTGCATTGAAATGCAAGATTAAAATGTGACTGTGTATTTTACAGGCTTGTTGAGACAGTCAGTTGTTGAGACAGTCATAGTCAGTTGGCCCCCAAACCAGTATGACAACTAACAGATTTCTCGCTCTATCCAGCGTGTCTCCAAACAGGCAAATCACAATGACCTTAATATGACTACGACGCCAAACACAGTAATACTGAACAGTGATCTTGCGCTCAAGATTTAATTTTTCATCCCAGAATGGTATGTGCTGTATATATTTGAACTGATACGTGTGGTAAGACAAAAGAATAAAGGCCCATGTATTATAATGTCTTCTAACAATACTTGCCAGATGCTCACTGAATTGAGTTTATAATCCATTTTCAAGGTAGAGGGAGTCTTTTGTGACATATCTTTGTTTTGTATCAAGCCCACAAAAGTAATACCGACATTATGCTCTTTAGCTGGCTTCACTTATTTTCAGTCATTTAAATCCTTAATGTATCATTAATGATGTACAGAGTAAGACAGAAAATGTGTCATGTCAGCTCATAATTCTTTTAAATGCCAGTCATCTGCCCAAGCCACATGTATGCTAAACATGAATTAGTAAATAATAAGACAGGCAAAGAAGAATGCTTTCAAGAATAGTTTTATTAAATGCTTTCAACTAGCTATCATAAATAAAGCTAACAATAAGTTATATTCAATGTCCAGGATGGCAATGTAACAGGGAACGTCCTCAGGAGACCATCTGTTATGAGGGGGTCTCGGGGTGTTATCCCCACTGGGACAGCTGAACCAAATCCCACAGCACCAGCTGGGGGAATTAACCCTAGAATAAATAATGGGGAGACCCGGCACCTTCAGCTGAGGACATTTCAGTGTTTTGACAGGAACACAAATGGATTCTCAGTCCTAATGGCCTCAGCTTTACTTTCAGTGACAAAGCTGTCGGATCTTCTGTTGACGTCTACCATCCATATGCATTATCCTCAGAGCTGCAAGATGCCAAGTTATTCTCAGTCCACATCATTTTAAACGGTCTCTTCGGTTGAAAGCCTGCGCCAGGATTTCATTTCACTTCAAAAAAAGTCAAACAGAAAAGAATTAGTCCACTTTTTAACAAATGTCCTCTGCTATTATAATCGTGTATGACAACAGTCAGAACTTACATGCTGCTGCCGGGCACGATCCTCTCTTGGTGTTGCTTCATCAACCTGAACTTTCTGAAGAAAGCCGGCAGTTTGAGTTTTGTTCTGGAGGAGCTTGAGGAAGGACTGAAGAGAAAAAGTTCATATGTTAGACAGTATTTTACTCCTGTAACAGAATGTGGCACTGCTGAGGTCATGTGCTAATGAGGAACTCTGTGGACAAACGTACCAAGTATCAGCAATGTGTGAATGGGTAGGTATGGCTGGAATTTTTTGGAATCAGGTTCTTAAGAAACAGTATTCTTAATTTCTCTTTTTTAAAATCATACTCAGCCTTTATGCAACCCTACAGCAGCAGTACATGCCATTATCATCATTATCAGTGTTTAAAGTAATAAAAAAGGGCTGTTTTAAAGAAAAAGAAAGGCAACAAGAGGTCAGAGGTCACAGCTTTCTGTTGGTATATGTCTTTGTCATATTCTTACTGAAACTGGGTTTGTGGCAAACAGTCCTAGTTTCTTGTTGGGTAAACACCCACATTTACACTAACCCACCTTTCTGCTTGTAACGAAGGTTCCTCATTTGCCTCTATCCTCTCGTCAGCTATATGCTTCAGTGCGTCCTTCTCCTCCTCTGCCTTTCTGTCCACATCCTCTGGTATCTGGTCCCACAGCCGGCTGTTTACCCACAGTGCTTCCTGCAGGCTGAGGCCATGGCCTACGCAGGTCACCCGACGACACAAAGGGCAGCCCACGGTCAGCAGCCCACTCCTGACCACTGACATTGTCTGCAGGCACAGGTCGCAGAAGGTGTGTTTGCAGTGGAGCATGCGTGGGATCCTGTCCATCCTGGAGTAGGGCAGGAAGCAGATGGTACACTCGCCATCCTCACAGAGAACCATGATCAGAACTGATGGATCACACAATGGAGTAAACTGACTGCAAAGATCAAAATGAGTCTTTCTGGATGATCTGGAACATGTATGTCCCTATTTAAAACCCCTCCAGTGTGTAGCAGCTGACACCAAAGACAAGGGCTAAGTGAAGTAGATTGTTGGTGCAGGTTCCAAGTCCCACTTCACTTCTCTCTGTTAAACAAAAAATTGTTTCAGAAAATAGTTATTACATGTGCCATTAGATTCAAAATATAACTCTTTTCACAGTAGTTGCTTTTGCAAAGCAATTATTTTTAAGTGTGAACTGAAATGCACTTATATAATTTAAAATATATTACATTTATTTTCTGATTTCTCTGACTGTTAAAGTATTTATGGCAAATGAATATTTTCAGTAAATTCAAGACTGTGACGATATTCAAGACTATTTAAGAGTAAAACTGAGAAATCTATGAAAACTGGAGCTGAATAATACTGAAATTTATAACGGTGTCACAAACCAGAATCAAAAAGAAAAAGTTCAAAGTGACACTAAAAATGTATGTCTGTTAACTCCTACTTACAGTTTGCGTGAAGCCTGTGTGATAACCTCATAGCAAGAAACAAACTCGATGCTCCTTCATATCTCTGGTAAAGTGTTGTCCCTTCCGACTGCACAGCCACAGTGCGGTGAATAGAGGGAGAGCCGGCTCGTCTGCCGCCTGTTGGGGAGTGTCTGTTATGTGGGGGCGGAACAGAGACGTCCCTCACAACACAATAGCTGGAGAAGCAGAGCGGCGGAGAAGCTCTTTGTTCAGTGTTTGATAAAAGGCAGGTGGAGAAAAGTGTTGGGGGTAGGTAAGCAGTAATAACGAACCCAGTTAACTGGTCTCCTATTCAAAATGTAAACCCATCATTATAAATTTGGAAATATTAAAATTAACTGATAAATGAATAAATAAGTATACTGTATCTCAAAAACATATAAATACATTTTGGGCTCGTCCGGGATTTGAACCCGGGACCTCTCGCACCCAAAGCGAGAATCATACCCCTAGACCAACGAGCCACACTAATAAAGTTCTATTATTACCTTTAAAAAGGTAATCAATGATGATGTTCATTTATCTGTTATTTCTATTTATGATTAATTACTCTGCGCTGTAACTTACCCTGGGTACATTCTACGTACGTTGCATCTCTCACATACCCGTTTCAAAGAAGCCAGGTAACTTGGTTAACGCTAATGATAAGGTAGGCTACTTTGAAGTCAAGTGACGAATTTAGCGCGCGGAATGCTTTTAAAATTTGTCTGTAGCCTACCGGCAGCTAGATGGAAAGTAAGGGTTTAAAAATCCGTTGCGTTATTGCTCATCTACTTTATATTTCACTTATATTTTGTGGCATTCACGTGGACGGCAAAGTAAGAATCTCATTGTACAGAAAAACACGTTTCCTAACTGTGCATATGACAAATAAACACTTTGACCTTGACCTTTGACAGACCGTCTGCCACATGAATCAAGTTACACTCTTGACTGTATTTGTCAATTGCTAAATACACATTTTTGGCTAGTTATGAGGATTTTATACCCATAGAAAAGTTGCCCACAGCGACCGCAATAAAGGCAAAGTGCTATACACTGGATATTATAAAGATAACTTCGCGCCAAGCACATAAGTGATACCACCCTTGCGTTTTCAGTCATGTGTATATAAAAGTTGAGGGCTCGTCCGGGATTTGAACCCGGGACCTCTCGCACCCGAAGCGAGAATCATACCCCTAGACCAACGAGCCAAGTGTCCTTATGTGGCAACGCGGCACAGTTTAAAGAGTTCAACAACGAAACTCCCGTAGCCTAGTGGTAGTTATATGAATTACCCTCCTGATTGTAATCCCTGCGACACTTCGGCAAGAGACTACCGAAAAATGGTTGTGGAAGCACCCTGAAAAATATGATGTACCACTGCACCATCCAGACGCTTCGGTTGTAAATTTTGGTTCCAACAGCTGTGTATGTGATAGCCATGGGAAAATACCGGCCCGTGACATGCGCTGTCAGGTTACGTACAGCGCGATGAGGTCACCGGTTGGAGGTGGAGTTACTGCCTTTTGTTTAGTTACCGCCTTAACATCAGGAAATCCATTCACCCGATGGATCTGTAAAGTGGACTGGTTGTACAATGTTGTTAGGCTAGCGATGTAAACAGAAAGTGTTAGACGCACTGAAACTAGTTAACTTTAGTCTCTAATGTTTGTTAACTATATTAAAATTTTTGAATAACCTGCTTACTGCACTTACCAATCGCTACAATATAAATTAAGCTGATGTAACCTTAGTTAACGTTATTTAGCTTGAACTGAGACGGCATCGTTGCAGCTCAGTACAGTTATGGCGATGGTTAGCCCCCCAGCTGCTAACATTAATGCAGTCAGAGGTTGCTAGGTTGTTCATCTTAACGCTTTAAAGCGTCGAAGCTGTCCACAGAGCCAGTACACTGTAACGTTAAGGCAGGACCACGGCTTGACCCACAGTGTCACTCTCAGCCAGATGGAGGCTTCCTCCGGATCTCCACATAGTGCTGATCTAAGGTAACGGTAACTAAACCACTGCCTCTAGCCAGTAACTGGCTAACCTGAGCTAATTCTTAAGCTAGCACGGTTGGTGAATTCTTGCATCTGTATTCCAGCTCTGTCCTGTCATCATGCGAGCCAGAGCTCCAGGAGCTGATGCGACAGATTGACATTATGATCCATCATCAGAGGAAGGAGTGGGAGGCTGAGATCCAGGCCATGGAGCACAGGCTGAAGAATGGAGAAGAGGAGCTGTTGACTTCCAGAAACCTCATTGAACGGAGGGACCTGGAGGTGAAGCATAAAGTTGTATTGTAATGTTTCTTGATGCAGCCGAATCTTGCTTTTCATTTATTCTGAATACTGAACTGTGGCTCAGTGGTCACTGTACTCTCAGTTTTATTTGAGATGACAGTTACATCACACTTATATTACTAAATGGTGTTATCATGGTGATGTTTCGCCTACATTAATACATTACCATCTTCACCCCGAGCATAGATTGGATTGCTCCGTAAACAGCTTGAAGATGCCCAGGATGGTCGACAAGAGTTAGTTACCAAGTACGAGCAACAGCTGCGGAAAGTCTGCGAAGAGGTGAGACATCTTGTCTGCTACACACTAAATATCAGTGAAGTCTGTCTGATAATCAATCAGCAGATATACATTTTGTTAACATCTTTTAACTTCTTCAGCATCTACAAAACGCTTGGGCAAAATGGCTGTGCACATATTTGCTGACACAATGTTTCTCTGGTCATAAATAGTTGTCCTTGTATTTATTCAGCAGTGCAATTTTGATAAACATGAACATTTTTCCTGTAGTTAGAAAAATTAAAAAGAAGTTACTACAAGCTTCAGTGCAAACATGCCAAGGAGACAAGTGGAGGCTCAAAAGAGAGTGTTCTTTCAGAGGTGACAGGACTCCGTGGAAATACTGAGGTACAACAGTTGTTTTTTGATTCATCTTTTCTTCAGATACCACCAGTCACTTACAGTTTGCCCTTTACTGCTATCTACTGGTTATGTTGAGCAGGAAGATCAGCGCTCTGCAGAGTGGGAGCAGCAACGCATCCAGTACCAAAGACAGCTGACAGCACTGGAGGCCCAGAATAAGAGCCTGACTGATGAACTCACACATGTTAAAGTAAAAGCAAAACTTAATCTTTACAAGAGCTGTATAGTCAGACAGAGTTTAATGCTGAAGCAGAACAGACACTGGTAATTTTTCACACATACCATCTGTCATTTAATTCCAGTCCCAGTGGGCATCAAGACAAATGGAGAGGGAGCACAGGGAGTGCTGCTCCCAGGTGCAGCTTCTGCAAACCCAGCTGGAGAAGGCTCAGGGAAGCCTGCGCTCACAGGAGTTGGAACTTGAGCGACTTCGACCACTTGAGGTGCAGCTGGGACAGTACCAGAGAGGGCAGCAGGTGAGCAGAGCGATAGGAACATAAGCTAGCAGCAGATTAAGATGATCATCATGGACCCCAGGGCTACTCTTCTAGTGGGGCCCCTGCCAGCCCATAATAAGAAACAAAGAGAAAACTGAGGAGTTCAGTGACCCTGTTTGAGCAATAGGCAGTTAAATATAGCTACCCTACATGTATCTCTTAATATGGTGGTAAAATGTTGCTGCCATATTACGAGCCACTGTAAACAAGATAAAAAAAATTCAAAGTCTTTTCTGAGACGTTGTGCTTTTGTTGTAACACATTTTGCATAGTTTTTTTATTGTCCATTTGGCAATTAGGCACAAATGAAGATCAGAATTTGGTGACAGACTGTCTGATCAGCACAGGGGTGACCATGTTAAAATGATGTGTAGTCTGACATCTCCTGCGTCTTTGCAGATCCCACTATCGACACTATGAACAGTGATTGTAACGTGTTTTGTGCAGAACATTCTAAAAGATCCACCTGTTATGAGGAAGATGTAATAATGCAGGATAATGTTCTGAGAGCTTTCAACCTTTATCACAACTAGAGCTGAAAAGAAAGCGGCTTGTCTCAGAAGGTTGGCGGTTTAATCCAGTCCACACTTTGAAGTGTCCTTGAGCAAGACGCTGAACCCCATGTTGCTCCCCGTGTATTCACCGGTGTGTGTGCTTGGGATTGTGAATGGGCAAATAGCATGAAAGTGCTTTGAGTGTGCTGTAATACATAGAAAAGCGCTATACAAGTAAAAGACTTTTACTATTTACATAGTTCTGACAGGAAATGGAGGAAAAATCCATTTTTACAGTTACAGTTTCTTAAAGGCCAAAGTTTTGTCTTCATGTTGCTGTTTTTTCTGACCATAAGTTCAAAATGCACAGCTATTCAGTTAAGTATCACATAAGACAAACAGAAGCAGCAAGTCTTCACATTTGAGAAGGTGGAACCAGAGACATACAGCTTATTGATTATCAAAATAGTTGCCTGTCAGTGGACTGATCAGATAATTGTTACAGCTCTAGATTATTGATAGATTAATCATTTGTTCCTTTTCAAGCAAAATGCCAAACTTGTATTTGCTGCTTCTTTGTGCCTTATATCATAGTTAAAGGACAAGTCAGCGACACAGGAGAAAGATTGTTGATATTTTAACTCAGCCACAAACACACCCCTCTATTCAGTGCACCTTCACAATGGAGTAGTGCTGTGTGGTGTGGTCTGCACCACCTTGTTTACCATTTACAGAGCCAGGGCTGTGTACAAATGCCATATTGTTTTTTCAGCACACACCTAGAACAGGCAGCTAGTGGACCATGAGGGGGTATTTGCTGATTTTGAGAAAATGTCTTTTGGATTATTATAGTCCAACTCAAATATCTTTGGGTTTTGGACTGTTGGTCAGACAAAACAAGCAACTGGATGATGTCGTCTTACACTCTACGCAAATTGATTGGTGTTATTCACTATTTTCTGATATTTTATGGACCATAAATTGTATTAACAGAAAAAACAATCAGCGAATTGATTATGAAATAAACATTTGTTTTTCATTTGGGAAGTTTTCAGTTCATTGTAGCTTTGTGTTCCAGAAGCCTGCAGAGAAAATCATATAAACTCTGGAAAATTATAATTTAACACAGAAAGTGGTTCAATAATATCATAACGAAACCACTTTTCTTAAGTTTGTTGTACAAGTTTTAATTGATTCATCATTCATTAATCAAATTCCACAGGTGTTTTCAGAGGAACGGGAGGAGCCCCATTCCACGCTGGACTCTCAGGATGCGTTTATGCGAGGAGCCAGTCATGAGCGCCAGAGGCTTCGTAATGAGACTGCTGGGCTCAAACAAGTACTGCAAGCTAAAGATCAAGTCATTCGGTGGGTGAATCTCTTTGTCATCAGTGTGTATGAAGTCTTATGATGTAGTACAGGAGCACATGCACCAGAGGGCGTTCTGCACCATCACTGCGTTTAGTAGCTACACTTGGTTTGCAGGCATCCAAAAGAAAGGTAGAGACAAGTGAAGTGCCAATGTTCAGTGGATGTTCCTGTGTATGCAGCACCCTGGAGGACTGTCTGGCAGCTCAGGGCTGCACTGGTATGGAAGCTCTCAGGAAAGATCTGGAGAAAACTGCCACCAGACTCCACTCTGCCAAAGCATGTGAGGTTCATCTCAAGGCTGAACTGGCGTGTCTGAAAGAGAGGTGAACCCTGGCCTCTTTATACACACACATCATTATTATTTTGGACATTTAAGCTTGATTTTCTGTATTTTTTCAGTTATCAACATCATTTTGCTTTTGATGTAATTTGCTCAGACTGGAGAAGATGAGCCGACAGAGAGCTGACCACTCCAAGATGGAGCAAGAACTGAGGAGTAATAAAACAGCATATGACTCTTGTATTGCTGAAATGACAAAGGTCACAACACTTCTCTTACATATTGTATTTGTTTAAAATATGCCCAATTAGTATCTGTGTTGACACCTCTCTGGATTTATTCCATAGCTCAGAGAAGAGCTTCAAAGGGCCAAGCAGACTCACAGCGGAGAGGTAGAGGGCATGAGGAAGGAGGTGTCAAAGTTGACCGGTGAGCTGCACCAGCGCGACCTCACCATCGCCACGCTGCGTGGCTCTGTGGCCAGCGTCCAGCAGCAGCTTCGTGGTGAGGTGGGGCGAGCAGAACAGAGGGCAGCTGAGCTTAAAGTAAGCAAATAGGCATATCTCATAACATAAATACACTGGCAAGAAAGAGTAAGTGAACCATTTGGAATTACCTGGTTTTCTACATGATTTGGTCATAAAATGTGACCCGATCTTCATCTGAGTCATAAGTATAAACAAAGACAACATGCTGAAGCTAATGACACACAAACAGTTATTGTTTGTCTTTATTGAACACAACCATTGAACATTCTAAGTGCTGGTGGAAAAAGTAAGTGAACCCTTGGATTTAATAACTGGTTGAAGCTCCTTTAGAAGCACTAACCTCAAACAAGCTTCCTGTAGCTGTAGGTCAGACCTGCACAACGTTCAGGAGGAATTTTGAACCATTCTTCCTCACAGAGCTGCTCCAGCTCATCCACATTCCCAGGATGTCTGGTGTGAACGGCTCTCTGAGCTCATTACACAGCATCTCTGTCGGGTCGAGGTCTGGGTTCTGACTGGGCCACTCCAGAAGGTGGATATACTTTGTTTGAAGGCATCCCAAAGCTAAAGTACAGTGGAGGGAGCATCATGATTTGGGGCTGCTTTGCTGCCTCTTGACCTGGACCACTTGCCATTGTGGAGGGGAAAATGAATTCCCAAGTTTATCAAGGGGTCCTATGGGATAATGTCAGGGTGGCTGTTGGCAAGCTGAAGCTCAGAGCAAGCTGGGTGATGTAGCAGGACAATGACCCTAAACATTGAAGTAAATCTACAGAATGGCTGCAAAGACACAAGAGCCGTCTTTTGGAGTGGCCCAGTCAGAGCCCAGACCTCAGCCCCATAGAGATGCTGTAGAATGAGCTCAGAGGGCCGTTCACACCAGATGTGCTGAGAATATGGCTGAGCTGGAGCAGCTCTGTGAGGAAGAACGGTCCAAAATTCCTCCTGAACGTTGTGAATGTCTGATCCACAGCTACATGAACAGTGGAAACTTCTAGGTCAGTAAATCAACCGGTGGTCGCTGCATCTTCCCCCACAAATCCCTCGCGTTACAGACGACCACATGCATTCCCCACAGATAGCGTTGTACTGTCAATAACATCATGGAACATTAGAATCCACTCGCCAACCAGCAACACATCACATGTGGCAGTCACTGGCCTCAAGCAGTCAAAACTGCTCAGTGGTCCAGTTAACACAGGTCACATTTCTTGTTTCTGACTTTCTCAGATGACTCGTGCTCAGCTGGAGACTCTACAAACTGAGAACCATCATCTGAAGAGTCGGGTGCATAGAATGGAGTCTCAGTCACCTAAGGTTCGTCTGCTGTGACATAATTGTTATATAGTCATTGCATAGTTTTGCAGACAGCAGCAGACAGGATTCTTTCCTTAATGTGGCTTTAGTGGCTGTGTCTAACTGACTCATCCGTCTCTTTTTGCTTATTATGCTCTGAATCACTTTGCTCTTCTCAGAGAGGAGATTCCGCACTTGCATCCCTGAGAGAGATTTATGTGTCATCTCTGAGCAGCCAGGAGCAGGAGAACCGACAACTGAGACAGGCCCTCAGTGAGTCGCAGACTCGAGAAGGGGTGTCCAACCAGGAGAAATATGAACATGCCACGCTCGGCCATGCCATACCTGACCATACACAGCCTGCTCAGGATAAGTGGGTCACATATACACATGCAGACAAGCACACAAGATCAAGTACCCGAACTCTGATGTACCTACCTGTTTAATCTGTAGAAATGAAGATACTGCCAAAGCTAAGCTGCAGAAGAATGCCACCCACTATGAAGGCGAGATCCAGAGGCTCTTCAAACAGCTGCAGACCCCGTCCCAGTCCCCCACAGAGCAGCCCTGCAGCCAGGCCCAGGACAGCAGGCCTCATTCATCAGCATCCTCCTCCTCCTCCAGCAGCACAAGGCTCACCAGGAAAAACTCTGTGCCAAATTTATGTTCTAATGAATCTGTTGCTGAGGGACAACGCTCAAGCTCCGAAGACTCTCTGAATCTTGTGTCCAGAGATAAAATCATTCCCTCCGTCTCTCCACTGGTGAGTCTAATCACAAAGAAGGATGTGAGTCCACACTTGTGTTAGAGGTAACACCCTACTGTCCTTTTGATAATGAAGAAGCCTACCGCTGTGTTTTTCTGCCCTTCTAGGAACCTTCGTCACCCGCAGACAGCATGGTCACTCGTTTCCTGGAGGAAGAAATGTTACGGACCCAGGAGCTGTTCCAGAGACTGGACACCCACATCCAGGGTATGAGAGAGGACAACATCAGGACAGTGTCCAAGTACCTGCGTGATGAGTCAGGGCCTGACTCTGCCCAGACTTCTGTAGAGAATGGTCAGTGATGGAGTAAGGTGGAATAAATCTGACAAAGTGCCTTCAACAGCAGTGCCAAAATCTATGTTCATGTGCTGTCCAAAAGAGTGAAGGTTTTTCAAAAACTCCAGTGAACTGTCAGCATGTAAGCATTGCCAAGCCTGCTTTATTTGGATTTTCTCTTCACTGTGTACCTATCTGTGTGCCGCCAGCAGCTGGAATCACGTGGTTCAGCTTTTACGGTGTGTTTTCATTCCATTTTTATCCTACCGAGGCATCCTCAGAGAACGAGTGCAGAGAAACTGACTGGTCAAACACTTTGCCTCATGTCTTGTCTTAAAAGTTGCACGTGAGCACTGCAGTAGACTGCTAAGAAGTACACACATTCACATATAAACACAGTGGCGAAAGACAAACCAGCTCTCCTGCTGTTTTACACCCCTTTGAATCTGTTCATAGTCTTATTATAGGGTCAGAATAGGAAGAGCGAATATGTCTGATAAAAAGTTACAAGACTGTTTTCATAATGAATAGATTTACACTTTAATTCATAAATGATCAGAAAATAGAGAGAGCAAGTTGAACAGTCTGAAAAGATACTGAGTTTACAGAGCAATTCTCTAATATCATTTTTTGATACTATTCTAATCGATTAATCAGGTAAGTGTTTAAGCTCTGGTCAGATTGTAATCTTGTGGAAATCATCAAAAAAGTAGAATAGATAAAAGAAAAGTGCACTAAACGCATGGATTAGGTCTCGCCTGCAGTGCAACATGTTTATGTCGTCACAGACATAACACATAAAGTGAGTCATGATGATGCTGGTGTGTCAGGGCTGTAACACGTATCGACTGCTCCTGATTGGTTCAGTTTGTCATGAGAATCAGTCCAAGGGGTTTCGGTTCCACGCTGCCATATCTGTTGTACTGTATCTATAAAAGATACTAAAGATGCCTGACGCATGGGCTCAGATGTTTTGCATTATGCTGCGCTCCAGTCCAGCTTGTACGACCTCTAACATTTGAGTGTTCTGAAGAGGAAACAAAACACAGGCATATGATTGATTTCCTTAACACAGATGCTTTGTGTCAGAACTAATTTTAAAATTTTATAAGTCATGTTGCTACGTGTTCGTCTATCAATTTATATGTTGTTTTACCAGATCAAGGCTGAAATTTGTCTTAAATGTGGTTTAACTCAGCCTTAAGAAGTCAGTGGCCCTTGGTGGTGTATTCTGCACTTTTTCTGTGACCTCACATAACTGACTTTTGATTGCTGAATTCCACAAGTTACTCTGTTCCAATTTTATAAAGATGCCTGGAATGCAGTATTAATAAGTGCTTTGCATTTGCATCCAGAGAAACATATGCTACTGTGAGCGGCAGTTTTGACATTTTCTCCCTGCTCGTGTGTTATAACTGGGAAAGCCCCATATATCTACACGTATGTGCATGCCTGTCCACACATCTCACACAGCAGGGAGGGAGAGGAGGCCGCTTATACTGTGGCTCTCTTTATTTTCTTGTTTACTCATCTCCCAAACCCCTTAGCGCCACCTCCGTCACCACCCACCCAGCAGAGGCCCTCCAGCTAGTCTGGTACAGGAATGTGTGTACCATGCCAGTGCTGTCGTGAACCTTCCCCTGTGGCCTGCATTGTCCTCATCATTAGAAAGCTTACGGAATGTTAATATCAACCATGTGCGGTGCTGAGCCTCAGAAAGGCTGAACGACTCGGGGGAAATACTGATATTTTACTGCCTTCCTAATGAAGGACACACTGCTAGAATGGAAATAAAGTGAAAAACCATTCTCAAGACATATGTGCTTTTCATTTTTGCTGTCATATTATTACAATAACAACACAGAAGTAATGTTCAGCTGTCAAGTGACTTCTCACTTTGGTATTTGGTAGCCTATGTTACTAGCACTGAAAGCCCCAACAAACAGCACTGAGGAATTTGGCAAGGCAGGCCTTCCTCTGGCTCTCTGTGGAGGGAGGTGAAAAGGTTTTATATGCGGAGATTCCTTCAAGAGGCCTCGTAAAAGGGACAGAACTGAAGCTGATTCAATTCCAGAGAGAGTTTGGATTGCATTATTGACATAATGGTTCACAGAAAAAATGATGTTTCCAAATTGATTAGCTCAGTGAATTGAATTGCCAGCAATAGGCTCTCAAACCTAACAGGACAATTACCGGTGTGTCACAAAGAATGGGCGCCCTCCCTCTAAAAGTGTCATTTGTTTTTAGTGATCACTTTATGTTTCCAAAGATTACATTATGCTCTACATAAAGGGGCATTCCAGCAGTTTGGTATCACACTTGTATCACTGCTTTGCCTTGAAAGCGCCATAATATTAACAAAGGAGAATGGAAGCAGCAGAGGCAGAAACATCCTGCCTTTGAACGTAGGACATTGTCTTTCAGTAGTACCTCCCCACTCATGTATTTCAAATTCTAGTCTCTAATTTGTAATGGAGGCTTTCTTCTAAAAAGCTGAAGCCTCCAAACCTGAGCCAACATATATTTTCAGGTGCCATAACCCACCAAGAATTATCACCTGGATCTGTTGCTGCCCTCTGCTTACAGAGCTTTACATTGAATCTCAGCTCATTTTTTAGCTGCATGACCCACAACTTTACCGTTTTGATTTCCTCCCACTGCGCTCATAACATTGTTTTTGGCACCAGCGGGCAAACTCTAAAAACCTACTGTACACTATCTGCTCAGCACCAAACAACAGAGAGACACAGGCAGCAACTATGCAGCTGGTGAACATAGTGAGTCATTTACCAGCTAAAGAGCCAGATATTTTCATGAGTTGGTGAAGAGTAACAGTAAAAGGAGAGTGACTATTATAGTTTTATTGCACAGGTGGCCAGAGACATGACTCCAAATGAATGCTAATGTCGGTCTGGGTCTGCTGAATGTATAATTAAGCACCTGCTTGATAATGCACTCGCCACACTGACTTCATAGATGATTGTGATTATAGGCCTAAATGTTTAGTGACCAAAGTGTGACTGAATGTTTTGGAAGTTGACCTTATGATGAGAATTGTCAAATTTTTATTCATAAATATTAAGTAGGAAGAGATACTGGAAACATTCTTTTGTCTTTCTTTAGTTAAATGAAAGCTTGAACAGCATGCAGATGTGCATGTAGTCAGTGAAAGGTGCCACAAATGGTTCCAAGAATATCCTCAGTGCACCTGTGTTTTCTTTGTCCTTTAGTGAAATGTGATACAATACCCATTGAAAAGTACGTTTTTCAGTGATACCGTAACACTCAATTAACATTCTGGCTCAAGCATAAGCATTTCTATATGCCAACTTACTCATGTGGGTAATATGATAGGCTGCACAAGCCTGACTGCAAATCACTGTAGGAGAGCTGAGATGCCATTTTGGGGTCTGTTCTTACATTTCTTCTCTCATTTTACCACAAACAAGCAGCAGAGGGAACACCTAAGGGCTTTTCTGTCACACTAGAGTTCTAGGCAGTGAATTCATCATGCAGTAATTCAGGGGCTTGCATCTGGGTCCGTCACTTGAAAGATAGTTTCCCTCCTAATGTCATGAAACTGGAATGCCGCTACAGTCAAGCACCACACTGAACACCTTATGTCACACACCAGACACTCTAGTGGATGCATGAAACCAAATGATTAAGTCCTGGCCTTGGATGAACAAATAAATTGGCAAACTTATTGAATGCCTCATGGGAAAATGGGTCTATGTTATCAACCCATTTTAAGGGAGGCAGACATCTGAGGTCTTGGTTTGAGGACTTTCCCTTATTTGTAAGAAAAGGGTATAAAGAATAAAGATATATTGTGTAAATCCTGATTTATCTCTGCAGGATTGCTGATTGGCTTGGATTTCCTAGACCAGCTACAGTCAGACATTCCTGAGCATGGGAAGGGAAAAATATTTTTGATTCTCTGATTGATAAATGACTACAATACTTGACCACTATCAAAAAGAGGTCAATATATTTGGTTTCCCATAGTTTTTGTGTGTGAAAAATGTTAGTGGTGGAGAAAGTGAGAAATTTCTCTTCATTATGGTTTGTGTTGCTCCCCAGTGATGGCCTACCGCTGCCACAGATTGCTGCCTCTTGACAGATGTGATAAACACGTCTTTTTATGCTGAACTTCCTTCACAAGAGAAGTCGACTTTTCCCAGAATTGTTGCAGCCTGCATGCATTCTTTGTTGCACATTCCATGGTGGGGCCTCAGAGAACATGCCCGTCGTGCTTTGCGTGCATCTACTGTATGTCCCACTTCTATCTGCAGCCATGTCCCTTGTCTGGTGGGAACATCTCATTGTTCTGGGAGGGTGGGGTTGAGGGAGTGGGTGCAGGTTATGGCCGGACTCGTCTTGTCCAATGGGACTGCAGGATACTTGGAGTGCTGTGGAGACAGAGGGGCGTGTTCCACTCGCCGCTCCGTGCTAAGAGAACTGTGCCAGACAGGCCAAGAGGAAAAGGCACCACAGCACAGTGGGTGTGTGTACATGCACACTAGTGTCCCACTTACTATATGGGTTTGTTTGCCTTTTGTGACATGTAAGCAGCAGTGGGAAGAGTGTTGAGCTCTTTATTTGAAGTAGGAATACCATGACATTAAATTACTCTCTGACTTGACATAGAAATGACTCGTCCTGGTGCTGAATGTAAAATTATTGACTGAAATACCTGTTCGAGGTTTACGTGTGCCAGGTGTGAATGGTCTCCTCAGGCTTTCTCTGACAATGTGAAAACAGTGTGATGGGGGTTGCTTGTAGTGATGAACCTATTTATCATCTAAAGTTATAGGTTCCCTCAGTTTTTACAAAGCTTCATGGAGTTTCAGCTCACTGTCTGGTTGTCTGGCCAAGTAAGTCAATAAAAATGAAATGACATTTAGTGTCTATTATTCATTTACATTTTTTACTCTGTTTTAAAGATGGACACCTTTTGGCCTCCATGGCAGCAGGCATTCAAAGGTGCAGCTGACTGGCAATAGTTGTTGAGGCTAGGTGCCCATGATTGTAGGCAGAGGGTAATGCAACTGTTAAATGTAGGGAGACACTGGAGCCGAGGCTAGATGGAAACAGGCACGGGTTTCTGCTGATGCTGAGAGCTGAAAACTGCTAGCAAAATCTTATGTGGCTGGTTCTCAAAGGAAATAGATGGTTGCAGCTGGCTTTTAGAAACTACAGGAATCTGGCTTTCTGAATCCTGAGGCTGTATGTAGAGATTGACTGGGACTGCCTGCCCAAATGTCCAGCCAGAGAAATGGGCTGCAGCTGCAGGTGAAAGCTGATGCAGAAGCTGAAACAACAGGTGGACATTGGAAGTGTAGATGGTTTTAGCTGCCTGCATGCAGAAGCTGAACTTGGAACTGGAGTGTTGAATCCATACATTGCACAAGATTGTCAAGGCATTCGGCTGAAGTAGAAGCTGATGTTAGCTGCCTATAGAGCAGTGCTAAGTATGGACACGGACAATAAATCAATAAAGTACCTACTCTACTCTAAATATTGGCTGAGGCTAGGGCTGGAATGAGCATGTGGACATTAGAGAAGTAGATGAATGGAACCAGTATGTGGAGGCTGTGGCTTCTGAAGACTTAGAGCTGCAGCCAACTAGACACAGATGCAGATTTCAGCTGATGATCATTTATGGCGGTCTTAGGTACATGTAGAGGCTGAAAGATGGGAATCATTTTGATACCTGAGGCTGTGGGTTAAAGCTATGGCTGAAGCTGACTGTTGGAATGTTCCTCAGCTCTAGATGAAGGCTGAGAAGGAAGTTATGGTGCCAAAGGCTGGAGGAGGGATCTAAAATTTTCTGGTGCAAGAAGTTGCGGGTGCCACAGCAGTTTTCTGCTGGGGCTGGAGGCTTAAATGTTTTAACAAAGGCTAATGCAGATGTGTCAGAGGCTTTCAGCCCTTTTCCACACAGCCTCTGGAGTTCAGCTCAGCCTGCGGACTGATTCATTCTAACATTATGTTTTGAATAGTGGAGTGGAAAGAGGTATCATCAGTTTAAGATATTGACATGACATGGATAGATATAGGGAAAAAGGCAATCTGGCAAGGACTGAATGCTAGAGGCCAGGTGTACTATATATACTGTGAGGCTGACGGTGTAGTGATGCACAGGCAGGTGACTGATAATGAGGAAACACACCAAGAACAACTGGTGAATGGAACGTACATTTGTTGAGCTTTGGGGACAGTATGTAGAACAAATTTAAACCCAAAGATCCCCTTGCTATTTACCAGTCAGGGTGTACCAGCAGTGACTTTGAAAGGTTTGAATGGTTTGTGGTAACTGCTGAGTCCTTGTGACCTGAACACTGTCTAGACAGAATAGACACAGAATGGAGCTCCTAAGGCCAAGAGCATTTTCTTGTTGATGTGTAGCCCAGTTAGAACAGGAACTCTTTTCTGCAGTTTGTGCATGTGTGCTTTGATGTCAGGCTCTGTTACATAAAAACTAGAACATTCCTTGTTCATTCACAGCTAATGAGGCCATCCGTTTGGATCGCGTCATGCAGTTAGTTTGCAGATTTTCTCTGCAACCACAAATATCCCAGGCTAGCCCCCCACCCCCCTTCACTTACACAATGACATGCACAGGCCTGATTGAGTGCAGCCTTTATGCAGTGTTATACAAATCAGGACTAAGGTGTGAGCTATGACATAATATTAAATATAAAACTGTGGGAACCTGTTGTTTTCACTTTACTGGCAAATTATTTTGAATGCTGTGTCCTTCTTTTTCAGCTGGAACTATGTAATTACAAGATGAAGTAAAAT